AATACTGCTTGAATACTTTATAATACTTTATAGAATGCTTTTTCTGTTTCAAGTATTTATAGTCCATAAATACTGTAAATAAAGATGAACTAAGCTCTCTGCAGATGAGTAATTTCTGGTACTCACTGCTATTGCCAGTTGATTTCTTGGAAAAAGAGCAAATCATCTTGGCACTTCAGTGTCCTTTTGCGGAACTGAACAAGAGGTCCTATTTCACAGGTCCTACTTCATTGTATCTCTTCCCTCTTTTTTCTCTGGCCATAAGACAGTTATGTTCACTTGTTACTTATTTAACCTTTATCACTTTTAAATGTCTGAATTCCCTCAATCTGCTTGCTTTTTAGATTCTTGATGGAGAAAAAACACACACCAATTACTTTGGTTACTCTATTGCTGGAAATATGGACCTGGATAAAAATTCCTACCCTGATGTTGCCGTTGGTTCCCTATCAGATTCTGTAAATGTGTACAGGTATTATACACAGAAACTTAATTAATTACACCAGGGCTTTGGTTTTAGTTTCTTAAAAACAATTTACTTAGAAGTAACAAAAAGCTGGCTTTGAGTGTACTTTTCCTACCAGAAATTGGAAATTTGAGGGAAGGTGGCAGGGAAGGGCAGGGACTCCATAAATTGGTTTGTTTCTTTATCCCCATTCTTCCCTTGAGAACCTGCCTTGCAATCACTACAGGGTAAGAGGGTGAACATGGACAATTCCTGTAGAATGCTGATGTGGACAGTGTACCTGCATCTTAGTTTTGTCCTATTGTAACTTGGATGTCTGTGTCCTTGAATGGAATTTAAGGGTGATAAGTAATTCCTTAAAGAGAAGTTAACTAATACATTTGCTTCCCTTATCTTACTTAATTGTGCTTTACTGAAAAGAGAAGAAAACAGAACCAATCCCCACTTTTGAAGCTGAGGATCCAAACCAGTGAGGTGCACACAGCCTTTGCTGAGCTTGCACTGGGGGTCCATGAAACAGTGAGGAAGCCCTGCAGCTAGGATCCTTTGGGATTTCTATAGTACGTGCCTAAATTAGGGATGAAGTTAGTCCTTTGCAGACCTCTGCTTTTTTTCCCAATTTAATGTACTGTTAAGCTGAATCATTAGTAATGGGCAGTAAGAGGACTGACTGTCTGTCTCAGCATCAGAACTGTGAATGCTGCATCAAGCTCAGGTCTTTGGTGGTTGTTGTCAGGTCCCAAAGGATGAGAAGCAGAAACTCCAAAACTGGTTATCTGAATTCTGGGACAAACAACTTTAATTTTCAGGCAGAACTTCCCTTCCTACAATTTATGCTCCCATCTCTAAAGGTGTATGGTATCTGTGCATGTAATTGTAATATTCTTAAATACACTGGAGCAGTGCCCAAGAAAAGCAACTCACGTGGCCTGTGGAAGAGAACAGAGTAGGTGGTAGAGGAGTGCTGGTCAGATTATTTAGCGTTTTGCTTACTCAAAAAGGAGCCTTAGTCTTTTGCTGATAAAGGCAGGACAAAAACCTTTACCAAGGTGAGAACAAAAACCTCTTAAGGTGATACGCAGTGGATTAAGTGGCCCACTGAAATGGAGCAGGTGGCTTACCAGCTATTTTAAACAACCTTTGGATGCTTTAATAACAGGATCAGCTCATTCATTTGTTCATGTGAAATATCTTTTCCCTTCCAGAAATGGAAAAGACAAGTTGTCAGGGAGAAGTATGGTTACAGCCTACATGCAGAGGAAGCAGGAAATGAAAACATCATTTCCCATGGCCACCAGGCTCCATATTAAAGCTCTTGTGAACATGAATCTGAATGAACTTTAGTACCTGTAGCTGTTCACAGGAGCTGAATTACTATTGGTGGTAGAATCTAACACTGGATTTTCTGGTTTTCGTAAGTGTATAGAATGACAACAACATCATCATGTTAGTGTAGCCTGCTTCCCCCTCATGATCTGTAGGTGTTCTCAGTGACCTTTGCTTTGCTTAGCTTTTAACAGTTTTCAGGTTTTTTTTCTTGCCAGTATAAAAGTCAAACTCTGTGTTTCTTGGGGTGTCTTTGTTGCAAATCAATGCAACGAATGTGTGGAGGGAATCTGATATTCACATTAATTATTTTGTTAATCTTAACAGAAATGGCTTCTTTTTTTACATCTTCTTTTTATTCCCCATTTTTTCCCCAAATGAAGATCTCGGCCTGTGATAAGCATTAGAAGAAACATTACAGTATACCCTGATAGAATTGATCTAAAGAAAAAAAACTCTGAGGACCATGGTGAAATAAGGTGAGCAAAAAAGAAATTACTCTTATCAGAAGCCTTGGTGTGTTGAGCTTTCTGCTGTCAAAAGTCATTCAGTGATGATGTTTAAATGAAGGGATATGAGAGCCATGCAGGTTAAGCAAATGTATCTGCATATGTTTATTTTGACTTCCTGAATTTCATCAGGCTACTGTGCTAAAGATAAGATGTGGACTATGTCCTTTTCCTAACGTTCATTTTTGAAAATGAGTGTCACTTTGTCTCTTTAGACTTTTAACACAAGTCTCTTGGCTTGAAAAGCTTTGTCTTGAGTAGACACATAAGAGCAAATGCTTAATTGCTTATTAACCATTTTTTCTTGCTTTGTAATTGTGTCTAGCGAGCAGCAAATATCACAGTCATAAGACTGATCAGTTAAAACTTTTCATTCTCTTGGACCATGCCCTGTTAAATGTTAATACTAATTTCTTGGCACTTTTTACAGGATGGATGTGAAAGCATGTTTTAAATATACTGCAAACCCCAGAGATTTAAATCCAAGAATAAGTAAGTTCTGAAGATAAATATTTTTGATCTCTTTGTCACATGGTTTGCTTGGGGTATTTTTTTTTTTTTTTTAGAGTTTATAATGGAAAAATATTGCTCAAATTATAGTGACTCATCTCAGACAGTGACTGACAAATTTAAAATGTGACTCAATGCTAAGCTCAGCTGTTGCTGTCTGTATTTAGAGTCATATCATGCTGGTGTGTTAAGCTGTTCTGTGGATGACAGACTAAAGCTTTCTAAATATTAAAACTGCCAGTGAGCAAATGGTTGCCATACAGATCCCAAACCATTTTGCCTCTCTAGGTTACTGCTGCTTTAGAGAATAATTTTTAATTATGCATTTTGATACATTCTTAGAGAGCATTATTTCTTATTGGAGGCTTACCCTATGAACCTATCCTGTATTCGTGAAAATGGTTTTGTGGAAATTATTTACTGAAATAAAAAATCTGCATTAATAGGAGAAGACTGGAAGATTGTGCCACAAAAACATAAAGCACTTGTTACAATGCTGCTGTTACTACCTCTTGGAGAACTCCAGGATTTTGAGAGGAAATGAGGAACTTTAAGCCAAATGACCCTTTTTCACCTGTGTTGCCTTGAGTTTCTCAGTTACTTTTAAAATCCAAAGGCTGTGCCTGAATGAGGTGCTGGTCCTTCAGCAGGTGAAGTGCTTGCAGCTCTCTGCCTTGGCACACTGAGGGCCGTTTCCACTTGTGCAGCACTGGATTAGCACATTGAAGCAATCATTGAAAGAGACACCAAGTTCAGATCTAGTAAAACACATCTTAGCACACAACTGGACAGCTCTAGTCGCACTTCTGCTTCCAGTGTTAAAATTATCAGTGTACCTTGACCTCAGAATCCTGCTGGCTCTCAGGTGCCATTTGGGACCCGAGAGGGATCCCCTACAGCGCAGTCCGGGTATTTACACTGGGTAGCTCAGCCCTCTGCTGGCTCCGCACAGCAATTACAGCTCCCCCAGCCAGCCCCGCATGCCCATAAGGGAACGGTTTACTAGGGAATAACAGGATTTGGTTTCAAAATTTTCCTCAGATTCACACATGGGGTACCTGGCCCTCAACTGTGGCAGGACAAAACCGACATGACTAAAACCTGCAGCACTGGCTGGAACAGTCTTCTAGAATAATGCTTAAGATCATGCCTGGTGAAATTAACATTCTTTTAATATGGAAATGATTATTTTTTTTTCTATAGTGACCTACCTTTTTTTTTTCACATAGAAATCAATTACACGTTCGAAGTGGAGAATGAGAGGCGGCAGCTGGGCCTGCCCTCCAGGGTGCGCTTCAGTGACCACTCGTCTGATCAGTTCACTGCAAGTACAACCCTCAGGGGACAGAACTCATGGGAGTGTGTGACTACAAAGCTTATACTGCAGGTAAGGAAGACTGCTTGTTTTATTTAGATCCACTTAAAAAAAAAGAATGCTCCTTTGTTTGCAGCCTCATGGAAGGAGCCTTTGTATATAACTGTATATAATTTCAAAGTCATATGCAATATAAAACTTCAAAAATGGAAACCCACCACAGTTTACTATTCCCTACAGACATGCCACTTCCTCCTGTTGCCTTTCTTGCAAAGTATGGATAAGAACTGTAGTCACTGCAGCACATTCTGGGGGTCAATAGAGCTGAACAAATTTAGAACAATAGAGAGGGACTAAGTATCAAAAACAGAAGGCTGCTTCCAACAGAAATAATTGTTACAGAATTTTACAGTGTGACTGTTCAGGAAAAGAATTTTAACCCATGGGTTTTGGAGTGGATGAATGGGCAGGACAAGAAAGCTTGGTATGTAGTCTCTTGACTTGGCTGCTGTAGTGGTGCATAGCGGTGGTATTGCTCCAGAGGCTAAACAGATTCCCTCTCCATGGCTCAGAGGAATGAGTCAGCCTGCAAGGTTGCTTTTGACCCCAGCAGATTAAAGAACTTTAATTTATGAATAGAATAGAATCATAGAGTGGTTTGGGTTGAAAGGGACCTCAAGGATCATCTAATTCCAAATCCCGTGCCATTAGCACCTTTACTAGACCATGTTACTCAAACCTGTTCCAGTGTGTTATTTTACTGTAGCTGTGTGGATTTCACAGAATTGCCATCTGTGCTTCCTAGGAATTCTTAATGGCGAGAGAAATCGTCAGATTGGGAAACCAGAGGAAAAAAAAAGACAGTAGGGCTGGGCTCTTTGTGTTCCTGCATGTTCAGAAAGTGTTGAATTTATATACAGTTTCAAAAGCTCATCTTTGTGTTGTTTCTTTCTTCTCTGCACTGTACACTAACTATGCAATTTAAAATGTTTTAACAGGAAAAAATTAAAGATAAGCTACGTCCCATTCCAATATCAGTCAATGTTAAAATTGCTGGCCTGGAGTCATCATCCAGGAGAAAAGAGAGCGCACTTCCAGATCTTATACCAATTCTAAATTCAAATGAATCTGAAACAGAGACCACAAAAGTAAGCCTTTGATATCACATATTTACATAAATCTGCACTTCTTTAAAATTATGTTATTTGTAGACTGTAGAAAGCTAAATTATGTCCAAAGGAATTAACTGGGGTGGCACTGAACATGTAACTATTGGATTATTATTTTATGTTTTGTTCTGAACTTGTTATATGTTATGAACTATGTACTGTGTTTTTTTGCAACAGAAGTGAAGATGGGATAGCGCCTCAGTTTCTTCCCACTCCCCAATAAGTTTAGGAAGAAATGTACTTTCAATTAAAAATGGAAATTCATTGTCTCCTGCTGGAAACACTTGTCCAACATAACACGATAATGTACACTGTTAATTCTTCCACTGTTAGGATGCTGTAACAGCATTTGAGCAATGACTGCAGCAGTAACATAGAAGGGAGGGAATATCTCAGTTAAAATTCTTATGTCCTTGATGCTTATTGAAGAATCAGACTTAGATATATTTCCTCATTAGAAGTGTACCTCTCACTTAGAATTATTCAACTCTGCTTTTTAGTCACATTTAAAGTTCTAAATTACCAGCATCAAGGGCTGTATCTCACAAAGTAAAACTCAACAGGCAAGAATTAAGTCAGGATAAAATCTGAACTCTGTCCAGGAAAGTGCCTTGTGAGTTCCATGTAGATGCTTTATTCACTGTGCTTCAGAAATCTCATTTTAAGCTAGCATTGTGTGTCAGGCAGTAAAATTGCTTTGGTTTTATTTAGGTGGAGTTCTTAAAAGAAGGATGTGGAGACGACAATGAATGTCACAGCAATCTTAAGCTTCAGTACCGGTTTTGTACAAGAGAGGGAAATGAAGACAGGTTTACTTATTTACCACTGTAAGTCTCGATTAATGCACTTCTAAAGTTCAAATTATTAACAAGTGCTTAAAAGAACTTTTAGGAGAGGATTTTGGGAAAGAGAACAGCTTTTTCTCTGTGTCTGGAAAACACAGCCCTTGGTAGTAGCATTGATTTGTCAGGGCGAGGAAGGGGGGCAGAGGGGAAGAGCTTGAGAAGAAAAGTGATTCAGAATTGAATGGATACTAAGTGGCCACAACAGTGCAGGAGTAGGCTAAAAGAAATATAAAACCATTTTAACACCTGGAGAAATTAGATTCTAAACCAGCCTTGCAGTAGTTTATTGTGTAACACTGATAATTATTTTGCAGATGAAACTTGACTGTATGACAACTCAATAGAGTATAGTCTAATAGGCCAAGAGAAGTAGTTAAAGAGAAATGGAGTAATGGTTTCATCTTAACACATGCCCCAGCACCCTGCTGCATCCCTCCTTCCTGGACGGCCAGTGGAATTAGAGCAGGGGTAAAACAAACAGAAAGGAGTACATTTATTTACTGCCAGCAGTCAGACATTTTTAGCAGTGAGTGCCACACTCAGAAGCCAATCCTGAAAAGGAAAAAAGCAGGTCAGTAGATTAATTTGGAGAACATTTGTCACTATGTGAGTCAGATGCAAGTGCTGGTTCAGAAGAACTATAAACTCCTACTTCAGGGATTTATCAGCCTGTTCTGTTCTCTTAACTGCTGGCCACTGTCAGATGAAATACTGGTGTGGGGGGAAAAAACTTATTATTATTCATGTTCATAGTTTTACTATAATTCTTCCTAATAAGAGGAGATTGTATTTGGATAAACCATCATAAGAAAAAAACTTTCATACACATTTGTTTTCCTAATGCACAGAACCCTGTACATTCTGTTTCTGCAGTGAAAATGGCATGCCAGTGCTTGTTCTGAAAGACCAGAAAGATATTGCCCTAGAAATAACAGTGACAAACAATCCATCTGATGTAAAAAATCCACAAAAAGATGGTGAAGATGCATATGAAGCTAAACTAATTGCAACTTTTCCAGACAGTCTGACATACTCTGCATTCAGAGAGATGAGGGCTTATCCTGTAAGTATTTTTAAGAGAAAAAATACTGAAAATTTAAAAAAACTTCCAGCGTATTTTTACTTGTAAATGTATTCTGTTTAATCAGGAAAAACAGCTAACGTGTGGTGCTAACCAAAATGGTTCTCAAGCAGAGTGTGAACTTGGAAATCCTTTCAAAAGAAATTCTAATGTAAGTTGCACTTACTTTACTCAAATTGTAAAATCTTGTCCTGGCTGACTGCAGTCATCCAGAGTTTCCGTGTGTAGCAATTGAAAATGTGATTTGGATCCATCTTTTTAACTCTAGAACTTAATACTGAAATTTTCTATAAAATTTCATGTATCAATGTATCTTATAAGGAGCTCACATATTTGTCTTCTTTCTTGTTTAGGTAACTTTTTATCTGATCTTAAGTACCACTAAAGTTAATGTTGATACAACAGACTTAGAAATTAACCTGAAGCTGGAAACGTAAGTTTTCTTTGTGTGCAGGCATCTGCATTTTCCTTTGATATACAGTTGTAAACATTTTGAATTTGTTTGCTTGATTCACAGAAGTAATTTAGTAGTAGAGAGAAACCCACTAAATTTGTAAAATAAACACCATTGTTTCCTTCTCATTGCAGAACAAGCACTCAAGTTAATTTGACTCCAATTACAGCCAGTGCTAAAGTGGTTCTTGAATTGCTTTTATCACTCACTGGGTAAGTGTTGATAGCATGACCGATTGGGGGGTCTGGGGACAATTTTGCTTCAGACTCATTAAAATCTTTTATTATTCTCCTTTCCCACCCCCACCTGAACAGAGTTGCTAAGCCTTCTCAGGTATATTTTGGAGGTAACATCATTGGTGAGAGTGCTATGAAATCTGAAGATGATATTGGAAACCTCATAGAGTTTGAATTCAGAGTGAGTAATTTAGATTAATACCAACAGCTGCTTTCAGTCAAATGCACAGCTTCTTGCTTTATGCATATGAATATGTAGAAAAGTTGCTATAATGAAATTGGGCTTTCTTTGTCCCAAAACCATGACTTCCTGATCAGAACATTCAGTTTGACTGTGGACTAGAGCTTCTTCAGGCCTTGATCTTTTATGATCATATTCTGAGGAAGTGGCCTGAGGCTGCCTGCACACTTTTTTTGGAGCAGTTCATGCACATTCAGTTGTATGGCACAAAAGCCCCTGCAGGGAGGGAACAAAGTTAAAGCAGAACCTGCCGGGGGCCTGCCCAAGCTTGGCTGGTGCACACAGGCAGAAGAATGGCCTGAGCACAGAGCCACTGCAAGGAGGGGCTGGGAGAGCCCCTCTGAATGTGTGAGTCTATCTCTTGTCTTGGTCTTCTGCAAAATACAGTAAGGAGACTAAGAAAAATTGAAGTCCATCTCTGTCAGTCCTTCTTTCTATACCTTGCCCATGTATTGTAGCAGCAGCAGTTAAAATATCTGATAATATATGATTTAAAGAAAGTAAAAAAGAGGTTGAGGGAAAAAACTTTCAGATTTACAAGAGCAAGAGCTTGTTCTCTCTCTGTGTCAGAGTTCCTCAGAAACTTGCACTTTGCCTCAGTTATGCAACTGACTGATTTGTTAACTCTGAATTGGAGTTGTCTTTCACATGAAGATTAATTTCTAAAACCAACAACTAAAAGTTCTTATTAGGGAATTCTAATCCTTTTATATATTTCCTTGCTCTCCAAGTGTGCTAGTTTTAGTATATGCTTTGTACTATTTTGACTGCCTTTCATCTGATCTAAATTTCCTGTTAGCTGCGTGCTTAAAGCTTGTCCAAGTCAATGTTTTGAGGAAAAAATCCCTCTGAAAAGTATTTCACAGTTTAAAGTTTGTTTTAACAGGTAACTAACTTGGGCAGACCACTGAAAACATTTGGCACTGCTTCCCTGGACATCCAGTGGCCAAAAGAAATTAATAATGGCAAATGGCTGCTTTATTTGATGAAAATAGACTCCAAAGGCTTGGAAAAAGTCTCCTGTCAACCTGAGAATGAAATCAACAATTTACATCTTGCGGTATGTTACCCTGTCTTCTGTTCATGAATTGGTACAGCATGAAAGCACCCCTCAGCGTGTAAGAGCAAGGCATGAGAGCTTGCCTCTAGGAGGAGTTACTTTTCATCTTAAGCAACTCAAAAGCACAACACATGACCAATATATCAGGGAATAAGCCTATCAGGATAGGCTGATTTGCTGAAGGATAGATGCTATATCACAATGACTGTTTTGGCAATGGGCACTGCTGTCATAGGCTCTTACACAGGATGAAACTGCTGACTGTTCTAACAAATTTCATCAGTATTATTGAAAACTGCTCAGTAATAAAAACATCTGAGTTCTTACTCAAAAACCAGTAACTGAACATCTTCGCAGCCTGGGGGCATTCCATGTACTTTTTTTCAAGACAAGGGGCTTGAACTTAAATTTATTTATTTACAACAAATATAATAAAAAGCAATTTTCATAGCCCAGGATTGTGCCTATCTAGCAAAATATTTTTCCTAAAACTTGAGCTGCATTTTTTTCTTCATATAATCTTAAGTTCATAGGGGAGGAGTTTTTGTTTTCCACCGTTAAAACTGCATGCACATAAGCCTGTTTTTGTCACATCATTATTAGTTAATATAACTTGCAGTGAGTGTAATTAGTATACAGTTAAAAAACCTGCATCTACTGACCACAGCACATTCTTACTCTTTTAGCAGACTACTATTAATACCCTTTAAACAGAAACAGAAATAGTGCTGAAAGCTTTATAGATCTAAACCTCCCCTTACCCTATTAAAGTGAATAGTCTGTTGGCCTTTCTTTAGGTAATCTCAAATTTTATTCTTAGCAGTAAATGTAGGTAAGTAGAGATATATGATGCTGTCAGTCATGTGCTGATTTTGGAAGAAGAAAACACTGAGCTCTAGTTTCTCTGCTTGTATGACTGAAAAGATGCTTATGATAAACTGCTTTTCAGTTTTTTACTTTTGTTTCCTTTTAGGAATCCCATAACTCAAGAAGGAAGCGTGAAGTTGCAGAGAAGCAGATTACAGACAGCCAGGCATTTTCTTTATTCTCAGAAAGAAAATACATGACATTGGTAAGGATATTGCATCATCCATATTCTTGTCAGATACCTCCTTCTGCAGTCAAAAGAGGGCTTTTCCGAGTTTGGCAGAGTGAAAGAAATTCTCTCTTTCCATTCTTTTTATCTTATATCCAAATATCAGTGCTTTTAAAATTTGAACATTTAGATTATCTACTGTGAGAAAGAACTAGGAAAGAGTATCTACATAGTTGTTTACATTAAAATAAGTAAGTAATAACATCTTCATTGTATTTTCTCATTGCTCTCAGTACAAACAGATAGTGGTTCTTGCTTGTAGGTTTGATGCATATAATGCAGTTTTTAATCTTGGGGTGAGGTTTAAAGAAATTTACATGTAGAAATGTGTAATTGCAGAGCTGCAATGTGAACGCACACTGTGTGGATATCAAGTGTCCCCTGAAGGGTTTAGACAGCAAGGCATCTATTGTGCTGCGTTCCAGACTATGGAACAGCACCTTCTTAGAGGTAAGTCCTCTTACTTGCCCTTTTTGAAAGGTCAGAGTTCTTTCCTGTTCTGTGTCTAACATTCATGTTTTATTTTGAAACAGGAATACTCAAAAATGAATTACCTTGATATTCTTGTTAGGGCTTCTATCAATGTTCCTGTTGCAGCTAAGAATGTCAAACTCACAAATGAAGTTGCTCAGGTAGGTTCAGTGTTTAATGCTAACCACGTTATGGTTGTGATTGTTCTAGCTTATCTCCAAAGACCAGGAATGAAACAAATTTAAAACAAAACTCACTAAAAGTTTAACTTTTTAATTGAGTTTTGAATTACTGCTAATTTTTACCTTTTAATGGGGTTGAAAAAATTCATTACCATATTCAAATGATACCAGTGGGAACTTTTTCTTCAAAAGCATTTCGTAGAAGACATCTTGTTAGAGGACAGATAAGGCCATTTAAATTGCAGCTTTCTAATTAAAGGTTCTTAAATTCTTTCTCAAACACTCCTTCCACTGGCACATTTTCCATCCCATAGGTGCGTGTTACTGTATTTCCTGAAAAGTCAGTAGCCCTTTACACAGGAGTTCCGTGGTGGATCATTGCAGTGGCTATCCTGGCTGGAATACTCATGCTCGCACTGTTGGTATTCTTACTATGGAAGGTAAGCTTTTATTCATCTGGTTAGGTTTTATTTTCTGCTCTATAACTGACAAGATAGCAAACTAATTAAGTAAACGATGAAGTAATTGGGACTCAAAATAGGGCAAAACTGCACAAATAATACATTAAAAGTTTCTCAGTTTTGCAACACTTGGAATGAAAATGGCTGTACGGGCAGACTTGTTACATAATTTTTCTGTTTTCACATCCTCAAAAGTAAGTATTTTGAGCTCCAGATGGAAGTTGAGACAAATGTTCAGAGGTCATAGTTTGATACAGATGGGTTACAGCTATTGGAGGTGTAAAACTTCATGTAAGCTATTTACAAATGTTTTAGTAGGGCTCTGTTCTCGTAACATCAGAAATACCATTAAACTGATAGTAGATGAAAATAAACAAAAGCACAGTCTCAATACATAACCAAGTGTGCTAGTGAATTTCTTATTATTGCTTTATCTTAGAAACCTTAAAGGAATAAATAAAGAGGTGTAACAAATAATTAACTATTTGCAAAAGAAAAAATTAAGTACATTTTTTCTAATGACCTTTGTAAAAATGCCAATTATTTGTGGTTCCAAGTATAACAGAGCAGTTCTTTTATTCTTAGTTTTTACAGGTGTAGGCAGTTAGCATTTGCTGTTATGGAACAGCAGAAGTTATTAAGGAAGAGGAGGTGAAGACTATTTATCTGTCACTTTTTTCCAGTGAAACTGCAGCAGTTAGCTTTGAGGAGATATTTGCTGTAGGTTACTTCCCATAGGATAGTTCTGATTTCCTTCTTTTCTAAAAAATGCCCAGCTGCTTCTGCAAATATTTCTGATGAATGAATACTGGGTGGGCTGTTTAGGTTGTAACTACTAGTGTTTTACTGTGCATGAAAATACAAACATTTTTCATGTACACACACAGTGAAAAATGCTGGTTTTGATGACAGACTGTGCTATTCTATGAAGGACAAACATCGTACTGGAAAGAGATCTATCATTGGTTTAAGACAAAAGCTTGTATTGAAGGAGTCAAAGCAGTAACTGGTTTTGTTCTACACCCTGTGGTTTTGTCTGTCCCATGTACTAGTCCACAAACAAGTTTCTCTAGAGGCTTCTTTATGCTCTTCACAGCCACCTTCCATTGCTATGAACACACATTATTGTTGCTTTTCTTAAAAAAACCCCAAACAGATTCTCTACAGATTTATCAAAATTCCTCTAAAATAATATTCTTACTTTGTTAATAACTCAGGTTATTTTATCCTGTTATTGTATAGATCAAGTTAGGCCAAGAAGTTCTCAGATCTAGAAACAACTGAGATTTTGTGATGATTTTTCTTTTTTTTTGGCCTGTGAAAGGGTAATGGGAAGACATTTGACAAAGTTAAGTCAGTTTTAATAGGTTTGACTTCTTCCACTCCACAAAAATTGACTAAATACCTTGCTTCCTTGTAGTGTGGTTTCTTCAAGAGAAATAAGAAAGATCATTACGATGCCACATATCACAAGGCTGAGATCCATGCTCAGCCATCTGATAAAGAGAGGCTTACTTCTGATGCATAGTACTGATCTACTTCTGTAATTGGTAACTGATGATATTTTTTAATTTCTAGCTGTGGCACGTGCTATGGTTGCAGTGGCTAACTGTGAAGCTTCTTCTGCATAAGTTCTATTAACTTTTGGATTTTAAGCTATCATACTTGCTTGCTCCTTCTGTCAACAGATTTTCAGCTTTTGGTGCATGTGAACGCACAGAGGTTTACCCTGGTCTAAAATGCTTCTTATTTATTTTCTTTAAAAACATGGTGATCTGTTGCAATGGGCTTTAGTATTTTTTTTTAATTTGTGCTTTAACATTACAAGTAAGTCTTTGGCTTGCAAGATGGGAATCAACACTGTAGAGTTAAGATGTAAAGATAAGACTAGATAGACAATACATAAATTTGCTTTACTAACCTTTAGTGCATGCTGAAAGGTGTATGTTGCTTACATCAGAGAAGTGTTTTCATAATGAGAATTTATAGCTGTGGAAACATCTGTTTTACTTGAGTTCTAAGGTATACTTCTTTAGGAACACACTTTGCTGAAGTTACAAGATGATTTATGCTTCCAGCAACCTTTATTCCACTTAAGATATTACATGCATGTACATTGTATCCATAAGTGTGCTTGGGGTGAGGCGGTGGGGAGGAATTCTTTATGAATTATTTTAAAAACAGTGTTTAATGAAACTATGAGATGGCTAAAGATTTGGTCTTTGCTTGCTGTAGTTTTTTTTTTTTTTAAAAACCCCAAACCACTGACCAAAGAGAACCAAAATATCCAGCACCCTAAATACTATGAACAAAACCTTGCCCACTTCAACATGTTCTTATCCCCAGCAGTATCTAATGACAGCTGGATGGCACAATGTCTTTTAACCTGAACCTTGATCCATAAGGATGATCAGTGATCCATATGGATGTAAAACTGAGTGTGTACCAATCATTACCTTTGTAATGTTGTGGCCATAACTCCCTTTTGTTTTGGAAATCAATTTTAGTCCATCCCTCAACATTCAAAATCATACAGTGGTTTTACATAAAAAATTGCAGGGTACAAATAAGCTGTTATAGATTTCATCCAGGGCGACTTCCCATGGCAAACTAAGCAAGACTCAAGTTTCTAATACAGCATATATGTAGTTAGTTCAGGTGACTGAAGTGGAAATGGTGCTTTGAAAACCCAGTCCCTTAGGGTAACTCTTCTTGAATGTTCTGGAAATCTTTCTGTAGGTTCTTAAGGTTAAATCATGTCACCCTACAGGAAGACACTTTGATTCAGGAGAAGCAGCTTTCCTGTGCATAGCAGTAAATGTCCTCCTTAGATGAATGAAAAGCTTTGTACTGGAGGGAGTCTTTTTAAGGTATTTAATTACCATGGATAGTCAGAGCATGCCCTTTAACTGCTGCTGAACGGCTAATGCAGACCTCTTGGCTCACTTTTTTACAGCTAAATATACTAGATTTTTGGCCTACATACTTCTGTTTTCAATTTTCTTACCTGCATATTTGTGTGAAGGAAGAATTTACTGTCTCTACAGCTGTAGGACTTTAGCAGCAACTTGGACCTGAACTGTTTTTTTCCTTCTCTGCGCAGTGCGGGTTCTTCCGGCGTTCCAGGTACGAAGACAGTGTCCCCCGCTATCACGCTGTAAGAATTCGAAAAGAGGAGCGACGGATCAAAGATGAGAAAAGCCAAGACCCTGAGACAAAACAGTGGTTCACCAAATGGAATGAAAATGAAAGTTATTCTTAGGCAAAAATGTTGTTTATCCACGAAGTTCAGAGAGAGGTTAAGGTTTTCATTCAAGGAATACTGATGGATTTAGACCTGTGAACACTACGGACATTCACCATTTGATGGTAGATATTACTACTTATATTGAGGCTTTTATTTGCACAGTTAAAATGGGCTTCAACAGACTTTATTTGCCTTATTTAATTTCCACACTGCCTCTTCATCCCCCTTAAATCTAACCCACACTTTAGAAAATACTATGTTGATTTGAGGTCTTTTCTGCAAAATAAGCAAAACCACTACAGCAGTTTTGATCCTCCTGTGATCCTGACTATCTTCCTAGTTATGTAAGGAATGCATGATTAAGGTCAAGGTGAGTTCTCCATTGTTCCCTCAATGCACAGTGCTTTATAAACACACAGTGGCCTTATCACACTTTGTTCAAGTATAACTGAAGACCTGCAAGTCTGCTTTAGTCATAACCTTTGCCTGCTGCAGTAGTTAGGGCTTAACAAAAAGCATCATCATAAATTACATGTGCAATGGGTCATGTTGTTTGATTTTGTTTTTGTTGGTTTTTTTTTAAGATCAGATTGTGTGATTCTTGCTCACAACAAATATACACAGGTTTTTTTTTTTTTTTAAGAGAGGCTTGAATATTAGATGTACTTTCTGTATATATATATATGTTTTAGTCATTTTTGTATTTATTTTTATTATAAATCATTGTCTTTGACTAATCGGTAGGCCAAAGACTACTGAATTTTTAAATCCACTGTTCTGTTTTTTGTATTTCTGTTTTTGAACTTCAAATTATGAGACCTGAGGCTTTCACTGCATTTTAATACATCACTGAAGGTGCCAGTGCTTTCTAAAATGTAAATATTAATGCAAATGATGTGCATGGGTGCTTTCTTTTCCTGATGCTTGTAACATCAGGTCCTGTAACATGATTTGTATATTACTGTGGACTGTTTAACAATTTGGACACCAAGCTGAAGTAGTGTTTTAGATACCATTTTATACTCACTGCAAGAAAGTGAAAAGTCTTACAGAAACCTCTTTGCAGCTTCATAAGGACTTCCTGGTTGGCAAAAGGCATTGACTACTGCAACTGCTTGTACAGCACTTGAAGGAGGCTATAGATGCCTTACTTACCTTAACTGCTGGGATCTGAGCTGATCCATGTTGAGACTACTGAATCATCTTGAGTACCTGAATGTTGATAAAAGTAGAACCATGTTGTTAGTAATCTGGTTATTGCAGCATAACTGAGAAAATGATTTAAAGAGTTTACTTTTTTACCCATATTCTAAAGCCTTGGTACTATTGAAGAACAAAGATTTAGCTCACAGTTGTGTATTCCATGTGAAACAAAATTCTGCTCAAAGAGTATGCATGATAATTGCTTGTAATATGAACTATGCAAAAACCTCTTGGTACTTTTTCCCCTCATAGGGTAAAAACCTGCTAGGAGGGCAGTTGTCAAATACCTTATATTTACTGCTAACTTTGAATGTGCCTTCTTGGAAGATGTGGTCACCTAAAAAGCTACCTTTAGTGCTAAGAAAAATGGGTCTGTTAAACTAGATATTCTCAGTATGTTATGACCCTGATTTATGAACGCTTATATATTAATTCAGATGTTACCTGATTTTTGAGCTTCTAGAATCCTAGCTTATTTGCTTAAAGGCTCAGCAGCATCAGAAGCCAGGCTAATCAGGGGCGAAGAACCTTGAGAAATACCCCTGAATATAAAATCAGATTGTGGCCCTCATCTAAGAACATGAATGACTTGGCAGTGTTAAAGTTCTTGAAAAATAAGTCATGTCACTGATATATTTTTATCTCAAAATCTTGTTATACCAGCTAAGAATGCTACATCATTCCATGATTAGAAATTACCTGTGGATATTTGTATAGAAGTGTGAAATAAATTTTTTTAAGTAAAGATATTCTTGGTAATAGTGATTTTTATCCTACTTAACTGAGCTGGCCACAGCTACGAAGAACATGAAGAACAGGCTGACACTGGCAGGCTTTACCAAGTTCTCTCAGCACTGCCATAGCCCTCGCTGCCCTGCTCCCATGCTAGGGGCAGATAAGGAGCAGCAGGAGATAAGACACAATCTCGGGCTCGCAGGCTCGCTGCTGCTGCCAGCACTGGTGAGAGTCAGAGCACAACGTGCCAGCCCCCTCCTGGACACGGCTCCCCTCTCCTCGCTCCATGCTTGCACTCCTGCTGCCCTGAGGCCCTTCCATGCAAGCAACCTCTTGAAAATTTTCTTGAATTGTGTCTGACGAGTATTTGGGTAAGGAGTGGAGATGGATACATCCCCCAAAATTGGTCAAGGACTTTGCATACCTATTTGTACTCAGCAGTGGAAATTTGATATTGACAGTCAAAAACACAGTTGCAGAGTAGTTTTGAATCCACCAACAAAGCCCTATGAAAAAGCTAAAATTATGCAGGGAAAAAAAATCCCACAAAATGTAGCTCCACCTCTTAAGATGTCAGGCTTCATTGGATGCTTTGCTCATTGTTGCTAAAAGGCCTTTTGATGCAACAAAGCCCAAACATGAAGGTTAGCTGGAGATGCTAGGCCACTCTGTTGTTAAGGCCAAGAAGCTTCCAGAACTAGAAAATGCCACTAGACCCTTCAGAGCATCTCAAAGAGAAGAACTCAACCTGCTCTTATTAAACAGTTGCTCTCCTTTACATGATGGCCACAACCATTTGTCTACAAGAAGACAAAATATCAATTGGCAGAACAGTTAAGTAGCTGATCATAGTAAGTTATTATATTAGGCTTTATATCTCTGTTAATATATACCATACACATAATAGTACTAGATGGAGTATATACAATCTATACACTGGTAGAGCATTAATATAGTGTATGTGTACAGAATGGATGCATATATGTCTGATATAGAAAACTTAATGTTTGCTATATATAGTGTGTGTTTTATATCTATAAAAATATACACACTCTGTATAGCCCAAGATACAGAAATAGAATGTTGGTAAACAGTAATACTTTCCCACATGTTTAACTGTTGCAGCACAGCAGACATACCTTATGAGAGAATATAGGATTCAATTTAAGGGACCACCACAGCTCTGTTTCAGTAGCCACCTGTCCATAAGAGCTACAGGTACAAAAGGCAACAGGGTGCTCAGTTGGACACAAATCAGCAAAAGGAAACTTCTTAAAGGGGCACTGAACCACCAATCCCCATAAAGCACCCTTGTTGCAATACTGATCATCATGGCTGCAGTGTGTCTAAACTCCACAGAACCAGAGAGCTGCTCATGTTCAACAGCTGCAGTAACTTTTCCCAGCACAGAGCAGGCGTGTCAGCAGTTGGTTTGCAAAGGCAGGAGACCAAGCTGTGACAAAACAACAAGGCAATTGCTGCTGGTGCTCTGTGCCAGCAGAAGCCTGTGGACATGCTTGGACGTGCTTCAACTGCCTCATCAGACAGCAGGGCTGTGTGGCACAAGAGTGAAAGCAGTGTATTTCTCTATAGGGGATTGTGTAATCAGTTGCTTCAGTTTTTTTATCCCAGTCCTCAGACACCTTTCAATGTCTGTCTTTCCAGGCCCCAGAGTCATAATTCATACTATACACCTTTTACAGGCTCATAAACCTTGCTGAGTCCTAGCCTTGTGAAAAAAACACAGCAAAACTCCTTATCCCAAAAGCCTGCTGCTGTAATGGGCCTTAAACTCCAGCTAAGGTGTGACATTGTCACTATGAAGGGGTTGGGGACCTGCATTTTTCATATTTCAATGAAAGACCCCTTCCTTCCTTTTCTAGCTCTGCAAAATAGTTGTTTGCAAGCAACACCTTCTCAGGGCCATACGTGCCTCAAATATCCCAGAAAACACAGAGAACAGATTTTTGCAAGAGGAGGTATCCTTGCTGCTGCAGACCAAGATAAACCTCCCTCATCACTGCTACACAATGCTAACTATGTATTTTATCCCTCAGTCCCAGTGTCCTGGGGGATAGAGAAGGAAGGGACAGAGAAGTCAAATGCTTTTGCTAGGAACATATGAAATAATGCAACTGGTATGTCGATTAAAAGAAATGTTTGCAGGATACTGCTTGGTTTCTTGACGTGGAGGGGTCCAACAGTACCCCAGCCCAGAGCTGAGAGGTGCATCACTGGCAGCCTGGTTACAAGGCACTCTCACCGATTCCAGCTCAGCCAGGAGGAGCAGTAAGAAAACAGTGACCCTGGACCTGACCACAGATCCACCCAGACCAGCATCCCACCACTGACAGCTACTGAGAGTTGTCCACAAAATATTTTGTTGTTCCTGTTCCCCAAAAGTGTTAATGCTTAACTTCAGTAGCTGTGTCGTATATTTTTCCTGTATCAAAAAGGCATCAATAGAATCCTAAGAGTATCTCAAATTGGAAGAGACCCATAAGGGTCATAGCTCCTCACAGGCCTACCTAAAACTAAACTGTGTGACTGAGAGCATCCATGATAATCATAGAATTTCTCCAACTGACTCCTGATCCTGAATCACAAAGCTGCACATGGGAAGAATTCACAAACTCCACAGTTTAATTATACACTGGATAAAACTAAACCCATCTGCTCTTAAATCTGCCTTAGTTTGATAACTCCTATAGAAACCTCTCCATATTTTTGACCACATTTTTATGTATTTTTATTTCTATCTCTACAAAAAAGAGACCAAAGCCAGATAAACCAGTGTAACCCTAAGAATTTGTCTAGCATAGCAAAAGCTCAATTTACTAACAAAAACCTAAGAATGAAGACAAACCTAAGAACAACAAACAATTTGTGCAGGTTAAGTACACAAGCTGAAAAGACACATGGCTAAATGGGCCAGGTGACTCTGCAGGCATTGCAGCCAACCATATAAACCACTGAAAGAAAAGAAAGAAATATTCTAAGGATATTCACACCTGGCAACTAAAGCTTTATCATTAATCTGACCTGCACCTACTTTGGAGGACCTTAAAGAAAAGGAAAAAAGCACTTACATGCAGCACCCAAGAACTGATGACTTCCAGTGTCACCTTAACAAACAAGAAAGTCTTTCTATGTAACATCCTGCAGTATTAAAACTTAAAAAAAAATAAATTAAACTGAAGTTTAACTAAGTATTGTGTTTTCAGTTCTTTTGAAGTCTGAGTTGTTCTGTCCTATTTAAATTATTGATCCAGATGTATTAGAATTTCAACAACATCCATAAGCATGAATATGAGTAGAAAAATCCAAAATAACAAAAATAATACATTTCTCCTTTTTGGTTTGCATAAGAATTTACAGAAATTAGCACATTAGAGCTCTGGCCAGCATCACACTGGATCACATCAAGCCCTTAGAAAGTCATCAATGAGAGAAACGGGTTTTAGCGGGGAAAGAGCATTCAAAATTTTCTCCAATATTCTAACAGAACACGTTTACATGGATCAGGATCTGATCAATCATTTAAACAAGATGAGGAAAACAACATTAGGTAAATAGAAAGGTTCTTCTCTGAACAACACAGCATTTAAAGAATTATCCACCATTCTTTTATCCAGTTACCCCTGTGACAGCTCATCCTGCACAACTTTTCCTGAGAAAAGTGTTCACTGTTTATGTGACTTCTGTATGGTCTCTAGCTTACAATACACAATGATTTATTTAACCTCTGGCAGCCTTTGCCACGTGTTGTGGCTGGGGACTGCTGTCCAAAGATAACTTTAGGCAGAAGGCCAGTTTTTAAGGCACGTCTGTAAAGCTGAAACACAAAACAACGAAACAGTAAAATATACATCTAAGAGATGAAGCCAATCCAGAGCCTCCTAAGAAATTGCAACAGTTTACAAAGACTCTATGTACTGCTTGTAGGCATTACTTTAAACTAGTGCTGACTCACAACTGAGAGACCATCATAAAAATGGTTTTGAGCACAGCAATTCTCAAGTACAAGTCCCAAACTATTACAAACTTGAGCAGCATGAGCTACTCCTTGATGTTCTTGGAGTGGCCTACAAGCAGCAATAAGCAAAACCTGCCAACAAGCTGCATTTGTAGAAGTCTTGCAGAGATAGACAAGCTGTCTGTTTGCCAACTAGCCACCACTCCCTGGCCAGAGCAGAACAAGCCATTCAGTTTTCAGCAAAAAGATTAAGGTAGGGTTGGATTAAAAACCAGATGAAAAAAACAGTCTAATCCTGCTT